GGGCCAACGACAGTAGTGTTTCCTCGCCACGAAGGGGGAGCAGGAAAAAGCGTTCCGGGAGGAAAACAGCCAGCGGACCCCCAAACACAGCAGGGCTGTGGGAAAAAAAAATAATATGGGGCGGGGGGGAGCAAAGAAATCCCTCATCTGCTTTGTGCGCATATGGCTGTGCGCCGGTTGCAGTCGTCGCGGCGTGATTCTCCCGGACTGAGTCAAAAGATGATGATGCTTTTCATGGGAATGCGCATTTTCCCTCTGTCCCCGAGAAACATCACTAATTGGTTTTTTTTCCCTCTAGGAATTTCATTCAGAAGTACAAATGAAAAGTGTCACATCTATAAAACTGCGTGGAGCCGCATATTGCACCGTTCTCGAGCCAGCCAAACCAAAAATAACCTGCCAAGAATGTGTACATCCATCGTACACGCGGGTAGAGCTACAGCTTACAGAGTCGAGGGATGCGTGTGTGTGTGCCTGTGCACGCGTCCGTGGGTAGCTGGGTCTCGCAGGGACGTGTGTGCGTGTGCGTGCCCGCATTATGTTGACGTAGTCCACAAAGTGTGAAAAATGTACTTCTCGAGGAACTTGGAAGGAGATGTCATTTATCATTGTACCATCATAATACCACAAATTTTCACGTTTCTGTTCCATTTTGGATTGCGTGTGTTTGTGAGTATTTCACTAGATCAGTGACAGCTCTTTATTTGCATAATTATATGCTCTGGTCTGAAGAGAAAACTAACCCCCAAATTTCATGGGTCACCAAACTGCGACAATCAATGTTTTATCACGTATGCTAAGCAAAACCTAAGGAGCTATATGAAGTTTCTTGGGGAGTTTTTGCTCCTCAGAAAATTGAAGATTTTGTGCCTTTTGAATAGATGCAAAATCTTTCCAAGCTCTTTGTAACTGAATTCCGTTTGAAGGCAAAACTAGAGATTAGCTCGTAGATCTGGATTTCAGACCCACTAGCATTATTACTTCAAAGTGGATTCAGACAAGCAGCTTTACCGCATCTCTAAATTTCGCCGTCCTAAGTACCGTCATTTAAATGGTGGCAAAAAAAAAAAAAAAAAAAGAAAAGGGGGCGGTGGGGGGGAACAACCAACCAAAAAAATGGCCAAATGTGAAAAATGCAGACAATCGCCCCCTCTCTCATCGAGCCCGCAGTGACCGGTGGGTTTAATTTCACCCGTTCAGAGCATCTTTACTCTTCCTCTTGGGCGCTCCCCCCCGCCTCCCCGACCCCCGTGTAAAGATGTAGGCATTTGGGCAATAAATACGAAGAAAACCGTTTCCCGAGCCGCAGAATTTGTGCTGGTCCATCAGCGGCACAATGATGGCACGCTCCGGTTATGGCACACACGCTCCAAATTCCCCCTTCCATCAAGACGCCTTGTTACGAGGAGAAAGGGACCCGGTGGTGGGAACTGACCGGCGGTGAAGATCCCCCTCCTCCTCCTCCTCCTCCTCCTCCTCCGTCCGCAGCCGGGCTGCTGGGGGTGGTTAGCTCTTGCC